CAAAGAAGAATTCAAAGTTATAGAGGTGGAAATACATCAATTTATTAAGAAACTTCTTATAAAGATCAATTTTAATACTGTATATAGTAAATTTTACAACTATTTATTCAATGGTTGCGAGCTCTGACACGTGCTCCTCCAGCTGAAAAAGGATGCTTAATGAATTAGATATACCAAATCATTTAGCAAGAATAAAGCATGCTTACATGGATTAGGAATAAAAAAACAGAATTAGAGTTATTTTTGTATGTAATCTTTCAAAAGAAAATCATAAAATGCAGTATATTTTATATACTATTAAAATCGAATAGTAAATCATATGATACCTATGCCCATATGTTAGACTGATCGACAATGTCCAAATTTGTGTTCAGGAAAACGGACCGCCCTTTATACCTTTATACAGTAGGAATAGAACGATACGATAGCGATTTAATCATTCTACAGGTGTGTTAATTTTATAAGCTACGTAAAGAGATATTTTTACGTCATTAACGATCGCGAAAGTAAAAAATTTCTAATTTCCAGAATATGAAATGGAAAAATCTGAGGTTACATGAGGTCACGTGAACGAATGACACCGACTTTTACATTTTTATACGTGATAAAACTTGACATTTGTTCTGCTTTGAACTTGATTTAATGCCAAAAATTGGTAAATAGATAAATTTTTGGCAGGAAATTCAAGGAAAAAAAATTTTTTTTTATTCATAATAATAAAAATTTGAAATCTACAAATAATTTTTTTTTGTTTTTTAAATAGACATAAATTTAAAACTATAAACTTCGCATAACATGTGTACAGTTCGCATTAGTAGGATTTAAGTTTTAACATGCGCCTCTCTTTGCTTAACTCTAATCTTTAATTCAGTGCAACTTGTTGCCTAATTTATTTTTTAACTTCAAAGGGGCATCCATATCTACTAATGTAATATCCAAATTTCTATAGATCAAAGAGATTAGACATTTCAATGTTACAAGTGCTAACTTTCTTCCTGGACAAATCCGCACTCCTCCTCCAAACATCAAAAATGTATTTTTTTGTGGTTTAGATTCCATAAATCGATCAGGATTAAATGTAAGAGGATCTTTCCAATGAATAGGGTTATGATGAATTCCTTCAATATAAACAATGAATGCAGTATTTGCAGGCCATTCACGATCGATCATAGTGTCTTTGGAGGAAGAGTTACGTTGAACCATTTTTGAGGGATTTATAAGACGAGAGCATTCTTTGATTATGGCTTCTGCATAATGCATTTTGAAAGATCTTCCATCGTAATTTGACGATTTTTTTCTGAACCAAATATGGTATTTAATTCTTCTCGCAAGCGAGATAATACGTTAGGGTAATGAGCCATTTGATATACGATAAAACATAATAAATTTGCGGTTGATTCAATTCTACCAATAATAGCCCCAATTATAATTTGATAAATTTGATCATTGGTTAAAGATTTAGAGTTTTCCCCAGTATTGGCTGTAATTAATAATGTCAACATATCACTACCTAATTCCTTGTGATCTTCAATTTCTTTTCGACGATGATCAATAATCTTCATTATCATTCTTTGGGTCATATTTCTATTCTCATGCATCGCATCATTCCTTTTTTTAAAAATTGTATGTCTTAAAAAAGCAGGAACTGTAAAAAGAAATAGTATAGCTTTTAGACGAGTATCAATGATTTGATCAAAATTTTGAATTTCTTCATCTATTGGTTGCTCAATACACTTTCTCTTTGATAATTCTACGCTATCATTAAAATATTTTGCCAACGCGCTAACTTTTAATCCAAGAATTGCTTGTAAGGTAATTTCAGTGGAGAATTTATGAATCCAAATCGCAAAGTCAATTGGTACATCATCTCCGATTTCTTTCCAATATCCATTTAATTCATTGAAAATTATTGGAGTCCGGTGTAAGACTTGTTTTGAGAAACTTGGAGTAAGAACAACTTGTGAAAACAATTGTCGATTAAATCTCCAAGTAGGAATGTCTGTATTAAATGCAATTCCTTTTCTTGAAATGTTTATCTCATCGAATTGTGGCAATTTTTCCGATCTCAACACGTAATTGGATTTTGTGGACGGTGACATTAATTTTTCAACATAATCTGCTCGAGCGAGTACAATTCTTCGAAAACTTCCATTATATGTTTCGAAAATATCTCCATGTTTTTCCTGTAGTAACTTCAACCATAGAGTCGAATCACCTTTGGCATAAAAATAGATTGATAACAAATTTCCAACTATAGGAAGTGGAACTGATCCCGGCAAAGGATTTGGTCGTGTTAAATACTTGTAATAAAATCTTGCGACGTTTACAAGAATAATCCATACAAATATTGCTATAAAATCTGTTGCTCCTAGTGAATATATTATGTTCATGGTAAATTGTTGGAAAGATTTTTTTGTAAAAAAGGATTTGAGGATTTGGCGATAGCAATTTTTTCTCTGTTTAAATAATAAATTCAATTCACATGAATTTGCTAAAATAAGAAAGTCATTCATTGAGAAAATTTGATTATATAATAAGAAAATCATTTATAAATGAACAGTTTTAACGAGCTAATTAACCGGTTAATGCGGCTAACAAGTCGATGAAATTTAAGTAAATATACAACTTTTTTAATAATTAATTTCCTCTCGGAAATTTAATTATTAAAAAAGTAGTATTGTAGACATATCCTTGCGCAAGATAATCAGCAGATAATGGCGCAGTATTTTTTTGTTCTGCTTAAATCAACCTGTACTTAGTATTCTCATTTTCCTAGATCATTCCATATTATTATTGTTTTTACCAATAATCTATTAAAAATGAACGTTCCAAATGATCCAACGCATTTTCACATGAGCACTTGTACAGTATCAGGTATGTTATCTTGACGACAATAGATAATTGTAATTGCCCATCAAAAAATGTCACGAAAATTAAGAATCAGGTTCCGTGAAGTTTTTAAGCTCTTAATTTAGTCAAAAATTGCTTGGAACCTGATTTTTCTAGAAATTATAGCCACCATTGCTTTAATAAAATAATAGTGGGATGATCAAAAAAAAAAAAAAATAATAATAATAAATGGAAATCCCAAAAACCCTCCGCGATCTTTTTAATTTTTTAATTTTTTTTTATTATATTTTTTTATCCCCCCGCGATCTTTTTATTTTAATTTTTTTTTATATTTTTTTATTCGTCTCCCCTCCCCCTCATTCTTTTTTTTTTTTTTTTTTACTTTTTTTTAGTTTCTTTTTTTATTTATTTTTTTTTTATTCGTCCCCCCTCCGTTCTTTTTTTTTTATTATTATTTTAATTTCGTTTTCTTTTTTTTTTTACTTTTTTTTAAATTTATTGTTTTTTAATTTTTAATTTTAATTGTTTTGTTTAGTTTTATTTATTTAATTGATTATTACTAATAATAATCGTGATTTTTAATATACCGGAGACTTATTGTCCTTGAAACCCGGGTAGAATTGTTAGTAATATAACAATAGAAACAATAATAAAAAGAAATTTTCATCACGCACTTGACTGCGCCGCCATGATGAGCTAAAGGGTGCCGCACTCACGGTCATCTGAAATTGCGGAATCGGTCCTAACCAAAATAGAAAAAATAGCATCAGATTTTGATTAATAATCAAAATAAAATAGGTAAAATAATAAAAAAAGTTACCCACCTTACTGCGCTGTCGTGAGAAACAAAGGTGGTGAATCTACTGATCTAACCAATAAAATCATAAATCAAAAAAAAAATAAATTATTAAATAAATAATCAACAATAGGAATAGACAATACATAATATTAGAAAAAAAATTCAATAAAAAACTATTTCATCAGTGTTAGCGTCAGTGTCAGTAATAAGGTATATAATAATGGCCGGTCATTGGCATTACACGAATCGCCTAAAAAGGAGATTTTTTTAAGGAAAAGGAAATTTCTTTGTCGCTCAAGGGCTCAGAAATCCGGTTCACACTAATAAAATCACACTAAATTTTTTTTTTACCATAACATCGATCCTCCTTTATTTATAGTATGTTAATTAATTCCGGAATTTTAGTAAAAATTCAATATCTAACCGAGAATATCAAGCTGTAAAGAAAATTTATAATTATGTAATTATTTAATAAACCAAATTTCGATACACTTCTCTTAGCCAATAATATAAAAATATAACGCGTTACATTTAATCATTCTCTCTATTTTGTAATCCAAGTTTACTAAGTATCTTATTTGTATCCATTTTCAAAATTAAATAGTGGATATATTGTGAAAAGCTGATGCGTTTTCTAAAAATATAATCATGAACCTTCCAAGAAATTTCGTCACATTTTCTTCCAAAGAATACATTCTACGTTGATTCGTCAAGACAAGTGGCTTTACGTTTGGCCCTAAAACTCGGTTTAAAATGGATAACGAAAAAAATCGCAAATGAGAGAAGTGTAGTTTGAACAGTCTAGTACGTGAGTCTTTGGACGATTACCGATTAATTAAAGTCACACGATTAAAATCAACTTGTGTCATTTGAACTTTCTACCACACATTACAATTTCTATCTTTGGGAATTTTTTTTTTAATACAGTTACCACACCGATCCATTCATCAAAAAATATCGGGGATTTATGATGAAGGAATGGTTAAACAAAGTAAAAAAGCAAACTTTCATCAATCTATTAAAAATTAATAATAAAACATCATTCAGTTAACTATTGTCAAATTTCACAAAGTGCAAACTAAAATTCACTGATTAAATTTTCGCGCGTAATTGATAAATTGACTATTGAAATCAATGAACATAATAACTTTTGTCAACCAATAATAATACCAGTGAAGGATCAGCGCATGCGCCGCAGATCTACAGTTTTTTTCTTTCGAAAGTTTATTTTTGTTAGCTCTGCAAGTTTACTTAGAACGTTTCGATTTTAAAATTTAACTTGCAAAAATGCGCCCCACATAATTTAAACCATATAATCGGTGTAATCTGTCGCAGATTTCAGACGTGCTTCAAAAAGAGCGACTTAGAGTCGGTTCTGGATCCGATTCTAGACAGCATATTCTTAGTTTGCCTGAGTTACAAAACCATTTTTACAAATTTAAAAATCTGGCCCGGATCGTTGTCTCAAAAAAATCAAATTACAAGACCAATTGTTTGTAAACCAATCAAAATATTTTTAATTGATCGAAACTTTCAAAGTTTTAATTTATTTCCATCCCTATCTGTCTTTTCCCGAGTCCAGTTAGGCATTGACAAAAATTTAGTATTGAGT